CACACACGCACACACGCATACAGATCACCCAGTTTTGAGTCAAATTGATGTCACGCATTCAACCTTCTGATGAGTCGGTGAAAGTCTGACGACGAAACAGTCTGGCACAATCATGTGCTTATTTTTTGTGGAATTGTGTATTAGCGAACATGAGAACAACGTCCACGTTCCGGTGATGAATCGAGACAGTCTGGCACAGATCATCATGCCTTTCGTGTTAGACTTTTGTCCATATCGAATATGACCACACTCACTCACTCACTCACTCACACACACGCACTCTTCGTTATCGACGAGGATCCCGACTGTTGGTCCCGATCTTGATCGTTCGTCTGCTGACCAGTTGTACATCTCCATCTTTAGCCGTTGGGTGGAGGAGCAGGAGCAGATGCGGCGAGCCAGCGCTCAACCTGTCATCCACGTGGCTGGCCTTGTACGTAGGAGGTGATGAACAGGTGGGGCTTTCCTTCCTGACTTTTTTTCTTTCCCTTCCTTGTTTTGCTTTTGTCCGCCTTTGCGCTCCGATTCACAGTGTGACAATATATTCAAAAAAAAAATCGAAAAAAAAAGGAAAAAAAGAAGAAAAAAGAAGAAAAAAGAAGAAAAAAGAAGAAAAAAGAAGACTTTATCTTTAGCCGTGCGGTGCGGAGCAGACCCGCGAGTTTGGAGGGGTAATTGATGAGATCCCGACCGCTTGTCCCGATCTTGATGAACCATGCGGCGGGCGGATCACGGGTCTCTGCTAACGAGCGCTTCTTGATCTTTACCCGTCAGGTGAAGGTGAGTTAGCAGACCCGCGAGTTTGCCCAATTAGGAAGGAAAGGTCAGCGAGTTTGCCCAATTAGGAAGGAAAGGTCAGCGAGTTTGCCCAATTAGGAAGGAAAGGTCAGCGAGTTTGCCCAATTAGGAAGGGGAAAGGTCAGAAGGGCTAAATACAGTAAATGATCGTTCAGAAGGGGTAAATACAGTAAATGATCGTTGAGAGCCCGACTGCCGGTCCCGATCTTGCACCGTCGGGACCATCATGACGCGTTTACACTACCGCCCCGTCTTCCCCCGAACATAACGCACCCTGATAACGAACACGAACGTGTACAAGCCAACTTTCCGGTCCGATACAGTCAAAAAATGAGGGCGCGTTGTGTTCGGGGGAAGACGGGGTAGAGAGCAAGCCGAGTAGATTTTTTTGATCTTGTGCCGCGAGTTTTCCGGATTAGGAAAGGGCGTCCCAAAAGCGGATATATACTGGAATTACTTTTTTCTTTTTTTTTTGAAAAAAGGTACTATACTGTAATTACTGTAATTACTGTAATTAATATATCTGAAAAGAAAAGTAAACAAAAAAAAAAAAAGAAAAAAAAAAGAGAAGTAAATGGAACATGACGCGCAGAGTGGGACACGTGGTGTGCCGAGTGCAAGAAGCAGCAGCGCTGACGTGGCGCCCATGTCTCGGCCCACGTCTCGCCTCACAAGTGCGTGTAGTTCTATCGCGATCCCGACGGAGGCGGAGCATTCGGATAAGTCGCCGTGCCGACTTACTTCTGGAAGGAGTAGGAGTGCAGAAGAAGCTGACGTGGCAGTTTCTCATTGGCGGGATCATCGAACGGGCGCGAGATCGATCTTACGGTCCACATCAGCCGAGGATTTGATATCATCCCCTTCAAGGGGGACCTCCCCCTTCCCCTCCCCCTCCCCCTTCCCCTCCCCCTCCCCCTCCCCAGTCCCAAGGGGAAGGGTAAGGACAAATGAATCGTCCCCCCGGGGCCAAGAAGTCCTCCCCCTCGTATGGCGGATCTCCTCCCCCTCCTCGCGGAGCTCCTCCCCTCCTTTCCCCTCCTCTCCCTCTCCTTTGATGGAAATCCCTGTAAACAGCGCAGGGATCCCGACGTCATCGCGCGCCTCGGCGCGTGATCGTTGGGAGGAAGCAGGAGGAGAGATGTCGGGATCTGCCCCGAGATTGCCCGGCCAGGCCGCGCTGTCTCCTGTCTCGACACGGTGTGCTTCTTCGGTCGAATCCGAGCCGTTCAATTTTGGCGGGAAAAGGGATGAAGGGGGTTGGGAGAGACCGAAGGAGGTGGGGGAGGGAAGATTCGAGCAGTCGGGACGGGCGCCGCTGCGCTGGGCGCGCAGCACACGTGGCGCCACGCTTGACCAAGATTTGGCGGGAACTTGGGCATGGGGGGACACGAGGAGGAAGAGGGGTTGCCATGTGCCGGATCAGCCGTGGGTGCACGTGTTCGAATTGCGCAGAAAAGAGCGGGAAGGCTTGCCACGTGGAGGGCGCGGAACAACTGCTCTATTAATAACAGGAGGACAAACAGGAGAAGGGAGTATAGCCTTGGGAGGAGGAGGAGGAGTAGGTGATGTAGAAGCAGGGCTAGACGTCAGAACCGAGAGAGGAGGGAGAGTATGTCTAGGAGGATGCGGAGGAGGGGTTGGAGGTGGTGAAGGAGGGGAAGGAACATCAGGAGGAGGAGGGCACGGATTCTCAGGAGGCGGAGGAGAAGGAAGAAGAGGAGGAGGACGAGGAGGAGGAGGAGGACAAGGAAGAGGAGGAGGAGGAGGAGGAGGACAAGGAAGAGGAGGAGGAGGAGGAGGAGGAGGAGGAACATCAGGTGTAAGAGAGTGGCATGGAGTCTGGAGAGGAGCAGGAACATCGGGAGGAGGAGGAGGAGCAGGAGGAAGAGGAGGAGGAGGAGAAAGAAGACGAGGAGGAGGAGGAGAAGAAAGAGGAGGAGGAGGAGGAAAAGGAGGAGGAGGAGGAGGAGGAGGAGGTGAGGAAGGAGAACGAACATCAGGTGTAGGAGGGTACGGATTCTCGGGAGGAGGAGGAGGAGGAGGAGAAGGAAGAGGAGGAGGAGAAGGAGAAGGAAGAGGAGGAGGAGGAGGAGGAGGAAGAGGAGGAGGAGGAAGTTGGGGTTTTGAAGGGTCCGGAAATAGTCATGTGAAGGATATGGGACCCCGCAGATCAACTAGTCTGCCTTCGAGAGGGGTTTGGGCTGATGACGTCAACACAGGATTATCTGTTGACGTCCTGTCAAAGGTGGAGATGAGGGAGAAAGAGCGGAAATTGAAGCGAGCGTGGAGTGCGTGCGGGATGCACGAGCAAAGATGGATTTTGAGTGAAACTGGTTCGAATCCTCGGTTAGGGGAGGAGAGATGTTTACCTATCTCTCTCTCTGTTGATGGGAGCTATGGGGAGGTAGGAAACCAGGATAAGAGGACAAAGGTGGGTAGTAGAAGGAGGAGGGCAGGAGGAGAAGAAGGGAGGGAGCGGGGGGCGGGAGGAGGGGGGGGAGGGCGCTCGTCTCGGACGCAGGAAGAGAAAGAGGACAAGGAGGGCTTTGATATCTGGACCGAGATGGCTGTTTCTGCCGGTGCGGGACTGGGGTCGGTACTAGGGGTGGGAGCAGCAGTGGGAGCGTATATTGGAGAGGCAATAGCGGGAGGGTATGGAGGTAGCAGCAGTAACGAGGGGGAAGGTGAGGATAAGGAGGAGGAGGAGGTGGAAGAGGAGGAGGAGGAGGAGGAGGAGGAAGAGGAGGAGGAGGAGGAGGAGGACGAGGAGGAGGAGAGGGAAGAGCAGGGTTGTCTTGGCGGTGATGAGGACGCCGTTCAACAACGGAGATCTGCTGTAAGATCTCCGACACGTGGAGAATACCCGATCGTGATGACCAACAGACCGGGATCGGGATCGGGATCGGGATCGGGATCTCCGTACACGCTTTATCTTCAAGAAGAAGATAAAGGGAGAAAGTTTGAAGAAGCGATGGCCAACGGATCCTCTTCCTTATCCCCGGTCAGAAATCCGATGTCGGATCAATCTGAGGAGGCGCGGCGGCCAATCTGGAGCAAGCGTGTACGGACGTCGAAGGCTGCAGCCAGGAGAACCAGACGAAGGATTGTTAGAGTGCTGCTCTTCTTGGGTGTGTGCGGAGCGGCCCTCTATGGCATGTGGCGGCTATTGCCCATCCTTGTTAACAACGTAAGCAGTACACTCCTGCTCCTACTCCTCCCTTCTCTCTCTCTCTCTCTCTCTCTTTCTCTCTCTCTCCCTCTCTCTCTCTCTCTCTCTCTCTCTCTCTCTCTCTCTCTCTCTTGT